GGTCAGGAAGGTGCACACGGGTCAGGAAGGTGTACACGGGTCAGGAAGGTGTACACGGGTCAGGCAGGTGTACACGGGTCAGGAAGGTGTACACGGGTCAGGCAGGTGTACACGGGTCAGGAAGGTGTACACGGGTCAGGCAGGTGTACACAGGTCAGGCAGGTGTACAGATAAACACATGTGTGAGTTTATATTAAAGCTCAGAGAACCTGAAGGGAAACACGGTGCTGATGAGACTCGAGGTGATAAAAGCTGCAKTTAGTAAATTAAABCTGACTCCTCCCACTTTATTCAATAATAGATTTAAGGTGGTACTCACAACTGGACCAGGAGGACCCTGGGGCCCCTCTCCGCCCTTCAGACCTGGTGGGCCCTGAAGTGACAACAGAAAAAAAAACTTAGACAGATTCATTAAAAGATGTGCAGATTTGCTTCAGCTGGAACGGTTTTCATTTCAGCTCAGTATGTGTAACGATCAGAGGRGTGCAGTAACAAAGTACTTTTACTTTTGAGGATTTCTAATTTTATCAACTTTTACTTTTTTGTTATAATCAAAACATAAAAATGAAACGTTTACTTCTTTACTGTAAAATGTAACACCTCTACACGCTACAGATTTAAATATAACCCAAGTTGTATACACTCTAAAAATGAAGGGTTGTATTTACTTAACTGAGTTTAAAATTTTTAACCAATTTACTCAATTTATTTAAAAAGTGTAAATTGTTCAGTTTGCTCACCTGGGTTTAGTGGAACCAGTTGAYATAACTTGACTCAGTWAAAGTACTTACWTACTTACTTACTTACTTTCTCGATTAACGTGAGCAGCTTTTTTACTTTCACTGCAGTTCTTTTCTTATCRGTGAAAATAATTTTTACCGAAGTTATTTTCTGTTTCTGTCTGGGCCGTGTCGCACTGCAAAGTTTTAGATGATTTTTGCTAATTTATGAAACTCTTGTCCAAAACTGAAACTGTCCACAGTGAAGACAGAATTAAATAAATCCACTGTTAGCCTCATTAAACATGTACSCTAATACTAATGATTAGATTGAACACATAATGAGTCATTTATTCACAACAAAATGTTCGTAAGTTGGCAGAAGTTATCTAAAGGCCCTGTCACTGGAACGATTTAGACCAGTGGTTCCCAAACTTTTTATCTTCTGACCCANGGTGTACACAGGTCAGGAAGGTGTACAGGGTCAGGCAGGTGTACACGGGTCAGGCAGGTGTACACGGGTCAGGCAGGTGTACACGTGTCAGGCAGGTGTACACGTGTCAGGCAGGTGTACACAGGTCAGGCAGGTGTACAAGGTCAGGCAGGTGTACAGGGTCAGGCAGGTGTACACAGGTCAGGCAGGTGTACAGGGTCAGGCAGGTGTACACAGGTCAGGCAGGTGTACACGGGTCAGGCAGGTGTACACGGGTCAGGCAGGTGTACACGTGTCAGGCAGGTGTACAGGGTCAGGCAGGTGTACAAGGTCAGGCAGGTGTACACGGGTCAGGCAGGTGTACAAGGTCAGGCAGGTGTACAAGGTCAGGCAGGTGTACAAGGTCAGGCAGGTGTACACAGGTCAGGCAGGTGTACAAGGTCAGGCAGGTGTACACGGGTCAGGCAGGTGTACAAGGTCAGGCAGGTGTACAAGGTCAGGCAGGTGTACACAGGTCAGGCAGGTGTACACGGGGCAGGCAGGTGTACAAAGTCAGGCAGGTGTACACGGGTCAGGCAGGTGTACAAGGTCAGGCAAGTGTACATGGGTCAGGCAGGTGTACACGGGTCAGGCAGGTGTACACGGGTCAGGCAGGTGTACACGGGTCAGGCAGGTGTACACAGATCAGGAAGGTGTACACGGGTCAGGCAGGTGTACACGGGTCAGGAAGGTGTACACGGGTCAGGCAGGTGTACACGGGTCAGGCAGGTGTACACGGGCCAGGAAGGTGTACACGGGTCAGGAAGGTGTACATGGGTCAGGAAGGTGTACACAGATCAGGCAGGTGTACACAGATCAGGCAGGTGTACACAGATCAGGCAGGTGTACACA